CTGCATGAATATAGGGGCTACGTTAAATGCTCTCTACATATGATTTAAATGCTTCTTTTGGCATGCATTAAATGCTTTGCCTATGAGATGAAGCTTTCAATATGTTATATAAGCTTTATAAAAAAGTGAAAATAAAGATGTTTAATTTTTGCATCCATCAAAAGTGATAATGGGAGAGAGTTTACACATGAATGGCTTTGATAACTTTTTGATAATGATATTCATCACAACATTTTAATTCGAAAACCCTATATAGTAGAGCAAACAAATAAGTCATTGCAAGAAATAGATAGAATTATATTGAAGGTTAATTATATTGTTAAATGCTTTTTTAAAAAAGTAGTAAACACAACTTATTATTTGAAAAAAGAAACTGTGTAAGGGTCATTTTAAAGAAACTCCCTAGATAGTTTGTAGACCCAACAATTCTTATTTTCACCTTTTGGAATGTTAACGTTTCATTCTAAACACTGATGATAGTCTTAGGATGTTTCACTCCAAAAGTGATGAAGGGATTCTATTTTAACACTAAAAAACATCTGAGGCACCCATAATGTTTACAACGATGATAGTTTAAGAAGTTATTCATGTGAGATTCAAAGACTAAGAGTCGAGTAAGGAATTATTAGAGTCAAACAATGTATTTTTTAATGGGTCATGAAATTATATTTGAGAAGTGGAGTTTAATTTTCATGTCAGAAAAAAGTGGTCAAGAAACAACCTGACTCTACGAAGAAACAACTTGCCTCTATCGTGACCACTACGTCGCGAAGAAGTCGTGTCTGCGCTTCCTTGCGAAACAACCCAAAACAAAGAAGAAGAAGAGGGTTTTCCTTGAGCCACGGAGGGCCTCGCGATTCCGCCACAGTACTCGCCAGATCGTGCCACCGCGAACCACCACCACAGAAGACAAAAACGCCACCTGGGTCTCGCTCCCGCATCTCTATCGTCTTTGTCGCCACAAGGCTTCTGCCTTTGCTCGAGACAAGGATAACTCTCAGAGTAGAGTTGTCCGCGAGAAAGAAGAACTCAAGGTTGGGTTGTTAGCGTGAAAGAAACAAAAGAAGATTGGGAAGAAGAAGACAAGTTCTTGATTAGGTTTCTAATAGTGAATCAACTTTTAGAAATTTAATTAGAGTTAAAGTGATTTTAATTAAATTACCTATTAAGATTAGAGATAATTAGAAATTGTTATTTATAGTGGTTAATGAAACTCTAACTCTTCATAAATGCTTTAATTATAAATTAAAAGGAATTTTCTCCCAATTCAACATTTTTTAGTAATTATTTAATTTTTTAATAATTATTTATTTCCCTTTAAAAGATTATTCAATTTTTTATTTTACACCTCATTCACCTTGACAGTGTCACGCAATCATTAAAACTGGACACCTAATCATGTTTTGTCCAGGGGGCACCTACACCGTTAAAATTTTGACGTCATTAGCAAAAAGGATTAACTTGATCCGTTTTTTTAGGATCATTTGTTACTTTTTAAAAAATATAGGACCATTTTGAACACAACCCCTCTTTCGAGGGACCAAAAGAGGTATTATGCCTTCATATAATAAATAAAGACTTTGTGAAAATATATGCTTCTACACTCAAATGACACTAAATTGTTAACGATTTGTGAAGACGATATAAAAGACGAAATACCAACCCAAAAGACTCCCCTTCAGCAACAAATCTGGGAGGTTACTCCATATAAATCTCTTCTTACAAATTGTTGTTGAGGAAGAGGTCATTGTTGAAGAGCCACCATGACTATAAATAAACTAACAAAAACCATATTTGGCACGGGAGAAAAAGCATATATAGATGGGTCAAATGCAATGGTGACAAAAGGGAGGCCAAAAGAGACAATAGCGGAAGAAGCCATGGGTGAATAGGAGAGAGAAATCTTAAACATTCAACATTCTCCAATCAAGTCACCTGAAAAAGGAAACAAAGGAACTTCGATGCTCTAAATAGCTACTTGAGAGGAGACGAAACGTGTGACCACGCACGATAAACCTTAAAGAGGAAAAAGAGCAACCTCGACGCTCTGAATCATTACCTCAGAGGAGACAATACGTGCCACCAAGCATGACAGAAAAGGGAACAAATTTACAACTTCAAAAGGCGTTGAGAGTTTGTAAGAGCTTCGATGAAGGATGGAAGCAGCTCCACACTTCAAGTGAGAGCTCTCCCAAATAGACTTCTAAATTTTTCCCATACTACTTCTAAGAAAATCTTTTTCAAAAATACAAGACTTTCATTTTGTCTTCTTATCTTTGCATACATCTTCTTAATCATACTAATTTTTGCTATCTTTTGTAGATATATTTTTGATCCAGGAGGAAAACAAAAACCAAAGTTGTGCTTCTTTCTTTCTTCCCGATTTGAGGACAAATTGTTTTTAAAGAGGGAGGGAATGATGGCAACTCCTTTAGGGATTTCCCATCCAAACAAGTATCAACTTAGACTAACTAAGAAAGGGAAGTGAATAAAGACTTTCAACTAGAGCTGTCAAAATGGGTAACCTGGCCCGACCCGACCCACCACGGGTTGGCCACTTAGTGAGTCAACCCAACCCGACTCATTTATTAGCGAGCTGAAAAAATTCGAACCCGACCCGACCCACCACAGGTTGGTGGATTAAACGGGTTGGCTCATTGGCTTACTTAATTAACTTTTTTTTCACCCTCTTCTTCTCATATTCTTATAACATGCTACTTTGATCGATCAAATTGAAACAGTAATAACTAGACTAATTATTATATATATTATAAGCTATCAAGCATAAAATTTTGCCAATTTAGTTTAATGAGACATACACAATCGTTTGACCAAGAAACTACATATAGCCGTTAACAAAAATATATATCACAAGATAAAATTGTTATTCTTGTAGATAGGTCTAAAAACAAGATAAAACAAATGATATATTCCTGAATTATCCAATCTATAATATTATTCATCTATTAAATTGGAGTCCTGAATGGATAAATTCACAGTATTATGCTTTCTTGAAGCATCTTCTTCTTTATCTCCATCTATAATATTATTCAATCTATAATCTTAGGGTTCTATTTGTAGATGGGAACTTTTGGAAAGACAGCAGCGCGAAAGGCTCTATTGCTAAGTAAAGGTTGTGCATTTTGAATAATTAATTTAATTAATTTTATTTCAATAAAAAAATAGGATTTCAATAATTAATTTAATTAAAAAAATAGGTGGGTTGGTGGCTCAAACCCGTGGTGAGTCGGGTTGGCTCACGGGTTTCAACCCATTTTGACGGCACTACTTCAACAAAAGTTCTTTCCTTATCTAAGTCTTAGATGAATTACTTTGCTAAATAACATTTGCATTGTTTTGTAGGCCTTAAATAAAGGTTAAAGACCATGGAAAATCAACCAAAGAAGCTTGGAAAGCCAAAGGAAGCAAAGGAGTCAAAGAATTAAATAAAGGTTAAAGACCATGGAAAATCAACCAAAGAAGCTTGGAAAGCCAAAGGAAGCAAAGGAGTCAAAGAAGAGAAGAAATTAGGTGTTTTCTGGATTAAAACTACTGCCTTATGGATTGGAAAAGCAAAGAAGATTGGCTTCCAGATTGTAAATTTGCCCAACCACTTGCACCGTGCGCTCAGCCATTTTTGACAACTTTTACACATTTTGCACGTTTTTAATGTGTGCTTGGCTGAACCTTGCGTCCCATGCTCCTTAGCTTCTCTAGCACACTTCATTTGTGATTCTTAGAAGCTTAGCAAAGTTAAAAATGGAGTCCTCTCTTCACCTATAAAAGAGAGGCTCTTCTCCATGTAAATCTTAACTTTGAATTTGATAAAGAAACGCTGTTGAGAATTCTCCATGTTTATCTTTCAGAGCTCACTTCTTTGTGCTTATTCTGCACTCCCTCCTCTAGCTTCCTTTCCTTTTTGAAGGCTTTCTGAACTTGAGAAACCTCATACACTCACCAAATCTTCACTGAACCTTTCATCAAACACATGGCGTGCACCTCCGTTTTCCTCCATCAATTCATTCCACTACGTCACTTTGAGTCGTGGAGCTGCTTGAGCTTGGAGCTTGGAGTTGCTTCCATCAGTTGTTGATGACATGGTGGTTGCCTGAAGGAGATAATAAAATTCGTGTGATCATTGGTTGAAATTAAAACTCTAGTAGTGGTCGTAGACGATGATGGTAGACGATGATGGTAGACGATGATGTCACCAACCATAGTCAATGGTGTCGCCGTCGGCAACAATGGGTGTAGTGATAGAGACAACAATTTTTTTTCCTCAAAATAACCTGACTAGATATTATGTTAAATATAGTGAAAACTTTTTATAAGATTAATCTTTTTTGTGTTAAATATGCACATAAGATCTTTTATTTATAATAAAAAAATATAATCTAAACCCAAAATACAAATAAAAAATAATTATAAACTAAAGATAAAAAATAAAAATAAAAATAATATATAGAAGAACTAACAACTTTAAGAGTTTTTAATAAATCCAACATTAACATAAAAAATATAAAATATAAAATATGTGCTTTAACTTCTAAATAAAGCTTTACTTATCAAACAAAAATTGCAAAACATTGTGAATGGAGGCTCACATCTTAATTATATATATAAAAGTCTTTCGAAGTATATTCATATTTTATAGTCATAATTATATTTTATAATATTTTTATAAAATATAATATTTAAACTTTTATATTAACATAATACTTATAGATTTTAATTAAATATTAATAATCATTAATCATAACCACCGCATTCCTATTAAAAATTATTTCTAAAATTTCAAAATTTTATGTATAATTTTTAAATTATGAAAAATATATAAATATTATGGTTGATAATATGAAATATTATGGTTGATAATATGAAATATTATTATTTTAAACGATTAAATATAAAACAAAAAGAACCATGGTATTTTGTATTAACTTGGGTATTTATTTCTTATCTATTATTGAAAAAAAATTCTCCTCCTCTCCTCCCTAATATCAGTTACCCTTTTGTAAACTAATTCTCTCCTCCGTGCTTGATCATAACGGCGGACTTGGCTGCTTTCGTTTCTTCTTTACTCCACTCCGCCACCTGCTCGCCTCCGCTCTGCTCCGTCAGTGAACTCGTTAGAACCTCCGCTCCGCTTCGGCCCGTGCCGTGAGAAAGTCACCTCACATCCGCGAGCTCTCTGTGAGTGATTGTGCCTCTTCTAGGGTTTTGTTTCGTTTCGTGACGCGAGGTCTCAGCTTTCGTGTAATCCAAAGGGTATGTACTTTTTATTGATTCGTATAATGTTAAGATTGGTATATATTTATGCAAACTCAAGTGTAACCGTGTAAGAAATCATATATTTTGAAGAGCAATTTTTTTTTTCTTCAGTGAAATTTTGTATGCACGATGTAAGAACTCATAGATTTTTTTTTTACTTCAATTGTATCAATCAAATTAATATTATTATTCTGTTTTAACGGGAGATTCCGGCAATTAAATTGTTCAAGTTATATACAAGACTCGGAATCTTCATTGTCTTAGATTTTGAATTTTGGTAGAGTTTTAACTTGATTTAGTTTTCCATTATTCCCACCATTTCAATCTCATAGGGGACAGAAGCAATGCAAGCTGTCTGGTTACATGATTTGGTGATCTCTACTCTTGATTCTGATTCTTGGATTTGCGCTCTTCAATGGTCTCGCTGATTAGATTTCTCAAATAACAGAAAAATCCAAAATGAAGTTGTTTTGATTTTCATGTATTGGTTTTGAAATAACGAGTTTGAACCTTCTCAACGGTTGATACATTTTTGCTTATCATATTCTGCTATTTGAACAACAATTATGACAAGAATTTCGTGAATTTTATTTATATGTGTTTATGTCTGGTGTGATGTTTTGGCTCTATTTGTTTCAGTGGTTCTAACACTGAGCAGTGGACTTGGCATGCAGTGTGTAGCTTGATCATAGAAAGAAAGTAGTAGTATTTGTCCTTATAGTCCATAGGAAAAGGTCAAGATTGATAGACATAAGAGCAAGAGAAACCAGAGGAACTTTTACATGAAAATTAAGGGTTAGTCCTTTTTTTATACAGTTTAATATTCTAGATCGAAGAACAAGGTAAATGAAATGTCTCTGAGAACAAGTAGCTTAGACCTATTTGCCCTTGTTGCTGTTATTTCAATTATTGTTACTCATATGTTATGTTGCCACAATGATTTATGTTAGCTTAGGATTAGGACTACATGTGGTGTTTGGTTCATGGCTAGCTATTGTAATACTAAAGGTTTTGTTGGTGCCAACGGTAACTAGTTTGGCCGACTTGTATAAGCTCAACAGAATAAATTAGGCTTTCATCATGCTTTCATATCCAATTATCTCAAGAACTTTCATTACAGTCCCAGTTCAATGTTGGTGTCTTTATCATGAGAATTATTGTAAATTCTTGGCAATCTAGTCATGAAATGAAAGCTTCCTAGTTCTTTTTTGACAGACCCAAAATGTAAGAAAATTAAATTATTATATTCCAAACTCCAAAAGAGAATAAAATATTGTAGGTTTAAATTGCACATGCTAGTGCTCTAACCTTACCATAAAAGCTTTTCAAAATTTTTAGGAGTTAATTGCTTAATATGCCTCTCAACTGCCTCTGCTTTGCCTTTTCCTCGTGGGTCACTTTACCCACCTCATACTTCTTGTTAGCTTTGTGCATCATCTCTAAAGGAGTTTGAAACCCTTCTGTTGCTAATTTGTAGCTCGGTGCCACCTTTCTCCATCAGGGATATTTATTTGCATTTCTCCCTGATTTATCGGTGATTGCATTGGACCAGAAATAATCCCTCAAGCATATTATAGCACGCAGCAGGAATTTGGTTATTTAAATATATTTTTTAATGTATACATTTTGTAATACCAAAGACAAATTAATATTTGATTATTTTATATATTTTTTAAAAAAGTTATGAATATTCCACGGATTTTTATTTTGTGAAAAATGGTGACGCGAACTCATGCAAAATCTGTGGGAATGGCTATAATGTTTTCTAAACAAAATCCGTGGGAAATTACCCACTGAGATGCTATATCCTTTCTCAGAGAAAACTTCAAATGGAAATTACCCATGGAAATTAAAAATTTGTGGGAAACTTTTCCTATGAGGATATTACTCACAATTTTTTGTTCGGGGGAAATTCATGGTAAAAACATTGTTACTCACGGATTTTGAGTGTTCTGAATTAATTTTGTCCATGGGAAATTTTGATTTTTCTTATAGTGTACCTGGGTTTGGTTGTCCCACTAAGGCCCAACAAAAACATCTCTTCCTCTTTACTCCCTCTAGAGTCAGCTCCCTCTTCTCTCCCGAATTGAAATTATTTTCCATCAAAGTTCTTTCTTAATCTCAAGAGCCAATTTGTTTATATCCACATTAATTTTGCTCTTATGATGCATTTTGCTTATTAACCTTTGATTTTTTTTTCCTTTCATTCAATCTTACAAAAATAATGGTCTAATATCTGAGATAATTCCCGTTTAAACGTGATTCGATTGTGTTGTTGTGTGTTGTTCCAGATGAAGGTGAAAAAACAGAAGAGGCATAGAAAAACTTTGACATTTTACACTACATGCTTTGGTTTTCGGAAGCCTTTCAAGGTTTTATGTGATGGAACATTTGTGCATCACCTTCTTGTGAATCGAATAACCCCCGCTGACATCGCTCTTGGCAATATCCTCAGTGCTTCTGTCAAACTCTACACAACCAGGTTGCTCTCTCATTGTGTGCGTTTAAGCTAGATTTATTTCTAGTTGGTATGAAATATAACTGTTTTTTATTTATTTTTTGTTTTGGAGGTTTTATTTTTGTTTCTTATTTCCCTTTGGGGTTTTTGACGGACATGATGCAGGTGTGTTCTGGCTGAGTTGAAGCGACTTGGTAGCTCATATTCTGAGAGTCTGGAGAACGCTCATAAACTTATAGTTGCTAGGTAATTACCTCACTGTTCGAGCAATTATGATGTGAGATGCATTGTTTCATTAGCTTTACTGCTTCATTGAATATATTTCTTGCACAATGAATGATAATTGAATCCAACTAACTGGAACCATTTGGATTTATGCTTTTTTTGCAAAGGGGTCACTTTTAGATTAAATGTGTCTGGAACAAGCTGGACCCTTGGATTAAATACACTGAACAATGACTGGACTGGAGTAACCAAAATATTTGACACTCGTAGTCATGTTGATGCAAGATTCGACTACTTCAATTGTTATTTGATTATATTAGAATGTATTGGAATATATTATATTATACCATCTTAGGTTATCCTTTAGAATTACTTTCCTATTTTCTCATTTCTCTTAGGATTGATTGATCATGTCTCTGTATTTCATGATTTGTTTCCTTTAGTGTTCTAGGACTAGTGGTCATATTATCATTGCATTGGAATATAGCACATCATTTAAGTTAATATCAATTTCATAGTATTTTGTCCTTATCCCTCCCTCCTTCCATACCTAACTAATTAACCAAAGTACCCTAATGTCAAAGGGTAATCGTATACAGTCTTTCCCTTGCATATGTAAAGAGGCTGTGTTTGGATTTGTTTCCACAACCAACTGGTCACCCTTCCCTCCGAAACCCTAGAGCTGTCAAGTTAGCCCATTTGATAAGATTTGGCACTAGCCCATGTGGATTGGGGCCAAAAAAGCCCACAGGGCCAAAACAACCCTTTATTAAAAAAGCCCATAGGGCTAAATACCCCCAAAGCCCTATGGGTCAGGGCCAGCCCATGGGCTCTCCTTTTTAGCTTGAAAAAAATATAAACTCATTTAAATACAACTGAAATGTTAATATACCTATCTCTAGATGAAAAAATTATAAACCCATTGGTCAATGTTCTCTCTAGATGAATCAGAGACATTGAACCTGGTTGGACAAACGGTTGATTAAATGCCAACTTACAGTAGCTCCGAAGTCCAAACTGAGAAGTGTGATAAGCCACCTTTAATTCAATGCTTTCAAAGGGGTCAGCACCTAATTCAAAACTACCATTAACATCATATATTTTTTCTCTTTCTTTTATATATTTTACACTATTAGCATTCACTTGAAGGCATATATTCTATTCTATCGCCTTTCAAAATTGAAAACCTTTATAGAAAGAGCAAACATGGTAGCAAATAGCACTGCAAACCCAACAACTACACCTGCAACAACTCCAACAAAATCATCTCTATAGATAAAGTATCTTCTCAGAAACTCTTTCACTGTCTCGTTTACCTCAACTGTAGTTGTTACATCCAACAACTGTGATGCTGCCAATCCATATAAGGTCCAAGCCACAGGACATGGCCAATAGTACCATCTCCAACTAGAAAATCTTAATTTGAAGTAGACAAAACTCCTGCTTACTTCAAATCAAATTCAGACTCACGGTCAGGGGCGACTTTCTCAATAATTGGCTTTTCAAGCAACCCTCCTCCTTTACCAGGTACTGCTGCCAATACAGCCACGGGTATACAAATATTGGAGTACGGTCCTTTACAAAATGAAGGTGTCTCCCCTGTAATGCAAATCTTCAATATGTACAGTTGAAGCCCTTAACCATATAAATAGGATAGGATACAACATTGTTTCATTGATACAACAAAGTAGATAACGAAACAAATGAGATATAGTATGGGTTATAAAGAAAATAAAAAGCTCTTGAGACTTGAATATTTATTAGGCATAGATTCTAAAGGCATCACAAAATATGCTTAAATAAGAAAAACTACATGATCTTCCATACATAGGGAGAGGGAGACACATTTAACATAAACATTTAATTTAGCAAAAGAAATGAAAACAAAGACTCTGAAAAAAGTGCAGGTATTAAATCTTCCAACCACTCTCAAATTTTTGCAAAACGTACCAAAGAATAATTTTCTGGATTTAAGAATTAATATGTTAACTGCATATGAGTTGAAAGTATTTGATAGGCAAGAATGGTAGTCAGTATGGTGACAATTGAACGTCTGAGTTCAACATATTACACAAAAACCTTAAAAGACTTGAGCCAATGCCAATCGGGTAACAAGCTTGTAGGCAGATTTAACAATTCCTATTAATCAAGTTATCACTGAAAACACATCATGAGATAGGAATTATAAAATGACCAGTGTTTCAGGAACTTACTTCTGTTACGTTTCTTGATAGAAGAAACATAGTAATTGCAACTCACAAACTAATTCACTGAAAAGACCTCGTGTTATTGATTTAGGATGGCAAAACAACATGTACAATGCCAAGGGACAATGTATCTCTCCTTACACCACTCTAACAATCCTCTCTACTCTCTCAAACAGAACAAAAACATGACCCAAGATAGAGGAACCCCCACCTATATATAGTCTTCCTATAGAGAAGACTAACTAGAAAAGTGAGAGCTAGAGTGAATGTGATGTTCAATAGAGAAACAAATCCAAGCAATATATCAAATAGAAGTTATCACGAAACAAGTATCTCAAAATCTTAAGTTGTTAGGTGAAAATAAATGGTTTTAATAGTACATCCCTTGCACACCCCCTCATGCAAGGGTCCTTTGAGATTAAAGAATGATTAGTGCACAAGTCCAGCTACCCTGTGTTTAAATTCCAATTTTTATGTAAAGGAATAAAGAAGACAGGAATAAGACTCTAAACTAAATAATTTAATTATAGAGACTCTTACATAATGTCATGAATGATCCAACTAGTCAAAAAACATCAGTGCATTCCTAATAGAAGCAAAGCAATCAGAGAATACAAAAAAAATAGCACATACCTTCAACATTACTAGTGATGTTATTCTGCCCAGCAGCATGTAGCAAATAGCAGCAAAACCACAGGATGACAACAACTTCATGCTTGAAACTCTTTGAAAGATACATCCCAAAAATGAAAAAGCACTAGAACTCTCAAATATCTCTCATGAACTAGGCAATGTACTTTTCTCTCCCTGATAACAACAAAACCATGCGTAAAATTGAGAGAAGAATTTCTACTTTTCATTGATAAATTGCATTAAAATAAAGGATTAATGTCGATTAGCACCTAAGAGATTCATACAACTATGCTTGACATAAAAAAGCGATCAATACACATGTGTGCAGATATATTCAGCTGAAATTGACTGATAATGGACTAGTATAGACTGATACATCTACACTACAATGATCTCATTCCAAGTAAGAAGTATGAATACAAGTTCATATCCCAGCAGCTCTTACACTAAAGCAAAACCAAATTCAGAAACAACCCTTTGAAAGTAGAGGAGAATACCTGAGACAAGAGAAGAAAAACTGAAGCCAAAATACAAAAAGACTCAAACTTTGAAAGAAGTAGATAAATAAAAATAAAAAAGTAACATATGGGTGTGCGACATGTGAAGTACCAAGAAGGTGAAAGGGTGCCACAGTATGCGATGGTTCGTGGGTATTGTCCAGGTCGCTACAACAAGAAATGCAACAGAATGTGGAATTGAACCAAATACATTAAAAAATTGGTGAAAGAAAAAACAAATCAAGAAGCTCTGAAATGAGAGAGTGGGCGAATTTGACTTTTATGATACATGAACCAGACATTCACTACACCCAAAAACAGCATGAAAATGCATTAGTGATATGAGAAACCAAACAATAACCTGATCAAGATTGGACTGTTCTCAAAATATCACGGGGAAACTGAAAGCACGAGAAGTATTTGAAAGAAAAGATAACCTCGTTCACGATTCTTCTTTTCAACCACTCAATCGTCGCTTTTCAACCACTCGATCATTGCTATCGCCGCCGCCTATACCACTGTGCATTGTCGTCAAGTGCTGCTGTTGACTCCATTGTGTGTTGCCGCTGCATGTACCGCCATGCGCTGCCGCCGTAGATTCCACTGTGTGTTGCCATTGTTGTAAAGCTCTTCGCAGCAAACGTTTGTCCAGAAGAAAATGGCATGTCAAGGGTCAACAGTGGGATTTTGGGGGCTAGGAGGCTAACCCGGCCCTAATTTAATCCCAACCCATTTTCTGGAGCTTTGGGGGCTAGGGGCTTTGGAAAAGTCCCCCTCAGACATGGGTCAAACAAAATGGGTCTCAGTATAGAAAATGCCAGGGTTGGCCTTAGGGCTTTGAAAAAATTTGACAGCTCTACGAAACCCTATTATTTTGACAGATGCAAAGGGAAGGCTTCTTTACTGTCTATCTCTAACCATCAAAATTGGGAGGCCAAATGAGCCAGCTCAATGCTCTATACCAAATATTTACTTAAAAGTTCAGGTTGGAGGCCATATTCCATTACCAATCTAGATCTTTCTTTCAAAAATTGAGACTTGGGATGTTGACCACCCTCTGCAAAGTGTCAAACTAATTACCCAACTTGAGTCCATAAGACATAATTGATGCGGTGCTTCTATGAAAATTTGAATACTTAAGAATACTTATTATCAATTACACTCTTTGACCACTGTATTTTTATGTATTTTAAATTTTTCCTAAACTGGTCAGGATTAGTACTTGATGTTGTTTTAATATTTTGAGTGCTGGTATTATGTTGAGATGGTCATTACTTTGATATTTACTCTAACCAATTTGCAGATGTGAGCATGATAAATGTGTGGGTGCAGATGCTTGCATCAAGGAGGTTATTGGAGAAAAAAACTCTGAGCATTTCTTTGTTGCTAGTCAGGACACTGACCTCCGAAACAAGCTGCAAGAGGTTTGCATCATATATTATTTGTTTGAAAAGTTGATTCCAATGGTTAGATATGTTTTTCGTTTTAGTTTTGTCTTTGTAATCATGGTAAAAACTGTATAACTGTTGAACTACTTTTTGAATGATATTCAACTATAATAGTCTCTCTTATTGGACTTAGAATACATTATCTTGGTATTAGGTTATTTGTAGCCTCTTACAAGTATCTTTGAAATTTATTATCCAGGCAAAACTCTTTTATCTGAAAACCTTGGTTGGTGGGATGGGGTGGATTTGAATTGAACAACAATCAAATATTGTTGCCTGTGGAATTGAATCTACGGTTTGATATATGTTATTGTATTCGCCGAGCCTAGTGTTTAATTGACAATTAAATAACAATCTTGAAGAATTTTTGTCTGTCCAAACTACCAATATGAATTTGTAACTTCTTGTTAAGCCTAAGATTATGACAAGTTTTTGAAACTAGTTGATACATTGAAGTGTGGAAAACAAGACACTATCATGTCTAGTGCATTTGCCTCATCTTTGTATCTTTATATCCCATTTCTTATCTTTTATTCTTTTAGATACAGATTCAATCATAGAAATGTTCAGTTGATTAATATCTCCTATATTGTGATGCAATTATATATCTCCCATTTCTAATCACATTCAAACAATCCAGTGTAGTTGCATCACCTTACTTTGTGTGAAGTATCTTCCTACTTGGGGTTATTGATTGAGTCATTTGGAATAGCTATTTCTAATTAGAATGGTTACATAGAAATTTCTTTAACATCTTGATGCCTTGGCATCTATATAACGTTTTTATGTGCTTCTGTAAATGATAACTTACGATGTATTATTTTTATATACTTCTATGTGATCTCTGGTTATTGTTGTATAAAGTCAGCTGAAGAGATGTAATGCTTTTATAGTGCTGCAAGATGTGCAGAATTGCACGTTCAGACATACTATTCTTTCTAATATGCTTGTACTAGGTACCTGGTGTGCCTCTCATATATGGTCTCAGAAATGCTCTTTTTCTTGAATCCCCATCTGCATTTCAACGGCAATATGTCAAAACTTCTGAAGAAGGACGGTTGCATATGAATGAGAAAGAGTACAAGATATTAAAGGATAGGGTGATGAATAGACTAACCCATGAGGAAGCTAACAATTCCATTGCTGAAACAATAGAAAATGTGGATTCAGGAGATCAAACCATGAATGTTCAGGCAGTAAAAACGAGTACTTTTGCAAGGAATCGGATGCCAATCAAGGATAAACCTCAGTTCAAGAGAAAAAGAGCTAAGGTTATAATTTAAGCTTGTGCTTTATCCTAACTTCAATTTTTATTACCATACGAGGCTTTTGGAATAAAATAAACAAAGCTTTGGTACATTAATTATGCAATGAATTGATTATTTTATCATAAAGAAAATATGTTTTTATCGAATTACATTATGATGAACATTTTAATTAGAATAAAATTCAAACAGGTTCATAATGGCATTCTGCTATTTGTAATTTTTCATTTAGAAAAAAGCCTAATCACACAGTCCTAGGAAAACATATGATCAAGATGACTTCATCATCTATTATTTCCGTTGTGTTCAATTATGTGGTTTTATCACGTATATTAGGCCTGTCACCTTCATGACATATTTCTTGTAAATGGAAAACAAAGTATTCTTAAGCATTAAGGTTATTTGTGGAAAGTTTGACAATATGCAGGCATTGATTAACAGAAAATCTTGGTGAAATTGTTTTAGGAAAGATTGATGACCAAAGTAGTTATTTACGTTAATAACTGGGAAATATTCTTATACTATATTACTTTTAGTAGTTTATGATTTCCATTTAGTATTTCTTGTATTTTTGTCACAGTGCTTTTAAACTTTGCAGGGTCCAAACCCACTTTCGTGCAAGAAGAAAAGTAAAAGTCAAAATATTGGTCCTTCTAAGGTAGAGTTTGCAGTTTCTATTATTTTTTTTTTCAATATCATCGCATAAACACTTGGCTTGTGAATGTTCGATTTAATTTTTCTTCCACTCTTGTGTAAAGTTTGTCCATCAATCATTAGATGAGCTCATTCAAATTAAAACCATATAATTTATGCTATTTTTTTTGTACATAGAAAAATACAGAACAACTTAGCAAATATAATTCCTATTTAACTGTGTTTTGGTTCTGCGAGCAATTGCCAGGAATTTTTGAAAATGAATTTTTTTCCCACATATTTGTTATATGTTCATTAACTGTTGCTCCTATGCAGGACATGAAAGGAGATAATGAAGTGAAGAGAAGTAGGAAAAGAAAGAGGTCACATAAACGGAAAATGGCTACAGAAGGTGACAGTTAGGTTGATTTATTTTATACTTAGCAAAAGAAGAGGTTCTTGACTTTACTGCTTCATTGAAGGGAAAAGTGTATGTAGATTAGTTGCACGTTTTACATATTAGATTTTATACTTTTTCAATTTTGCCATTTGCTTAGAGTTGGACTTGCAAAAAGCTAAAGGTTACCCAAATTGATTTTGACTAGATTTAAACGATACCTGAATTTGAGTCTCCGCTGAGAAGATTTTATCTAATTACTACTTTGGTTAATAAATAAATAAAAAAACTTTTAAGTTTTAAGATTCTTGTAAATTTTAATATATATAATTAAGTTTCAATTTTATCATAATAAGTACCCAAAAGTTTTATATTTTTATAGAGTTTATGCTTTTTGATTTTGTTGTCAACAAGGGAATATGTGATTATTAACCTTGTGTTGTTGTTTCCGTGTTTCTACACAAAAAGTAAAAATAGTATACTTCTAAGATTGTTAAAGTAAAGTAGAACATATTCTAGTTTTTTTAGATTAAGTATTTTACAATAAAATATAAAACATGATTTTTAAGTATAATATCTATGATAGATGTGATAGAAAAGTGCGGATAGGAAAGAGCATAAATAAAAGAATTTACACAAAAATCGACATTGATATATTCACTTTCGTTTTAACTTTATAAAAGAATTGTAGGAAGATGTGCGATAATAAAATAAAATAATTTATTTTATATTATTATTTTAAATATAACTATTTATTTAACTGTTAAAAAACAATTTTAATTTATATTTTAAAAATGCTTACATTTAATTATTTTTACATTTATATTTTACGTTTACCTCTATATATGTTATTACTATGTAACTACTAAACATCCAATGGAAATCCTGTGTTATTCATATTTGATCTCTGCATTATTTTCTCCTTTAATGAAATACACGATCATAATATATAGATACCAACATTACAACAAAAACACACTAGGATAAGTTAGAATGATTTAAAATCATACTATCATTCTTAAATACTAAATAAAAGAAAATTTACACTTATTGTTACAAACTCTAATCACCTTCAAGAATTTACAAAGATTCTCGTGGCTATTTCATACATCATCATACAATTGATATGACTTTTAGAAGACTAGTGTATTGAGTAAAATTTGAAACCATACATTTATCGTACTCACCTCTACCTCTCAAAAGTTATAGCTATATCATGATAGAGTCACATTCCTATCAAGGAGTATAACAAGGTAAATTTCACATCTATAGATGAAGACTTCCTTCGACACTCATACTAAATATCTTCCTCTATATGAGTTGAATACTTAATAAATTTAAATTTAACGCATCCAACACTATAATAATTGCAGTTCACTGATTTTATGATTAAATTTAACAGGATTTTCAGATACCACTAAGTGCTATACCAGAAAATAATTTCTTGATTGTCTAGTATAGGTTATCCAATTTGTTTATAATTCCACTCTTGTTTAATTCCAATTACCATATGATAGTTCAAAATTTAGACCTTTAATAGAGCAATTTAGATAATTCCATTATAGCTAAATCAATCCACAAATCACAAATTCAACTCAAACAATTTACTAATTAGTTCATCACTCAATGAAATAGTTTATCATATAATTTCAATATACCAAATTTTGTTTTTTCACAATTCACAATCCACGTCTGAAACATAATTCAATCAACAAAATTTTACTACTTTTCCTTACATTATGCGTAACATTTTGTGTTTCTTCTTTCTCCTGTTTGTGCAGTCATTTGTAAATGGTTTCTAGCTACACCGACATCATGCTATATATATATATATATATATATATATATATATATATATATATATTTCAACCTTTTATTTTTAACTTATTTTTAATAATGTTTAAGTTTCTCTACCAGGACAACTAGTTAACCAAAATGATTAAAAATATTTTTGTTATATCCACCACCATTAAAATTTATTAATGAAACATTAAGATATTTTAGTTGAATTTGGTATGGTTATTAATATATCAATCGTACTCATCATTAACATTTTCACACTTATCAGTGCTATATTTGTTTTTCTCTGAATATATTACTCAGAATACAGCAACCAATAGAGAGAATAATTAAAGACTTTCAAATCATAATAATGAAATATACCAAACATCAAAATCTGAATATTAAAGATGGTGAGTTGGCATATGAGATGGAAACGTAGGTTTCCTTTAACTTTTATTAAAGAAAGGGTCCATTTGCTATCCTACATTATTATTTTTTTTTACAGGGATTAAAACTATGAAGTAAAGATAGAATATATAGATAAAAAGAAAAAACTTTGAGAACTGAAAAACTGATAAAAATTTCTTTTATCTGGATTCAGGATAGCTGTGTATCATATTAAAGAAATTAATTTGGAATAAAGTCAAGAACATATCCTTTGTCTCTATTTTTTTTTCTTCTGTTTTGATTCCTTTTCTGGGATGATGAATCAGCATCTTGTCTTTTTATTTATTAATAGTTTTATGAAGGTAAAATGGAGTAATTTTATGTACTTGAAACACCTACAGCTGGAAAGTATAAGTTTGTTTATATGTTATATAAGTCTCTTTCTTTTTTTCTAATTTGTTATAAGACTTTTAAAAGAAATAATGAATTATTATATTATTAATCTAAATAGGTCATTTTAATTTTCTTTACATTAAGAACTATTCTTGAAATAACAAAAAAACATAACCAGATACAAAATTTAACTTCCAATTATCTTATAAATTCAACATTTTAAACATATAACAAATTTAGTATAATAAATAGTAACAATAGATTACTATATTTTTAATAAAACTACACGTGTACCCCAAAGAGGTCTAACATGAACTAGACATAATATTTATATCATACCCTACTCATAATATATTCATGAGAGGAAAAATTTAAGAATTCAGAGTCACACAGAAGATAGTTTGTATAAAATCTTAATATAATAATATTACTGTCATTTTTGTAAAACGCGTTATATAGAATATTTATATTTATGTGTATATTTTTTTAAAGAGATGAAACTATAAAAGTTGAATATCATGATATTTAACTGTTTTGTTGACATATCTGATTCTCCATTTTTTTTATTTTGTTTTCAATAAAGAAAAAAAAAAAATTGCTACCCAATGGGTTGGTTTCTTTCTTCTCACATTCATGAGATTCCAATGATAAAGTGCTAAACAAGTGTGGCTTTCAGAACACTTGAAGTTCTGAAGAGTCACTTATAATTAATAGGAAAGGTATTGATGTCATCAAATTTTATGATTTTATATGTTCATGTTTTAACCTAGGAAAAAATAATTTTACAATATCATGTATTGGAAAAAGTATGTAGACTTTTATTTATGCAATCTTTTATATCTTAGTTTTATTATATATATAATTTTATTTTATATATATATATGTATATATATATATATATATATATATATATATATATATATATATATATATATATATATTTGGGGTACGTAATATCAATATATTTTAAACGTATAATTAAGAAGATAACATACAATTTTATGTTATATTAAACTTTAAAAAATATTTTTTTGGAATATTTAATGTGCAATGTCTTAAATTTATAATGCTATATTTCTAAAATATATAATGTTTTTGTTTCATTATGTACACCTTTATAATTTGATCCAGTCATCTCTCTTAACTTCACTTTTCCTTACGTTCTATTGAATCTTCTTCAATATTGTCCAAATCCGAGCAGGTGAGTATTTGTTACCTTAATACTCAAGTTAGCTTCAGTTACCGATCGATTATTACAATTAAGTCAAATATTCAATAAATATAATTCACTTACCTTCTTACCTTACTATGTATTTATAGGTTTCGAAATGAGCTTTTGGTTAAGGTGACCCAATTGCAACCCAATGTCTCATAAGCATGTTTTATCTAATTAATCATATTTTGCTTAATATGTAAGTTACCGATCGGTCATTAACATGTTCAGTGACCGATCAGTCTTTACTAGTGCACAAATTTAGATAGATGACCTACCGCTCTCGTATCGATATTTTGCATTGACTGGCCGATTTATACTAAATAGTTTTTAATCACATTATTATTAGATTATTTAATTATTTTAAATTTTTAGAATGATATATAAAAGAATTAAATGAATATTTAATTGATATAAAATAAAAATATTAAAACAATTTTAAAATTACTGAAGAAAAATTGTACAAAACTTATATCTTAATAAATGGGATATAAGCAAGATATACAATATCTCTTTCCATGACAAAAAAAAAATAGTAATCATACCATACAAATTCTACCAATATATAAATAGATGTAGAGTAGAAGGAGTAGTGAAAAAATAAACCAGCAAAAGAGCGTATGATACGAGAGTTAGATAAACAAAAAAATAATAATATTAGAATATGAATCATAATTCTTTCTTCACATTTTTGTATCAAACATATATTACTAACTTAAAAACTATAATTGATAATTAGAAGGTAACTCTTGTTACTTAAAAGTATTTAATTCATTTATTATTTTTGTGGGACATTTGATGACATTTTGCAATAATCTTTATCTTAATTTTTTCATTAAAAATGAAATTCTTTAATTGTGATGTGATCCATCAACACATGTCACTGAATAATTGGATTGTAAGATTTATAATTTACATATTAATAATAATCATAAACAATAAACCCTTAAATATAAGAGTTTTCAATAGAACAGTAAACAGAAGCATACTTCTTGAAGGATTAGACATTAGGAATAATTAATAAACTGAAGTGGTGTCTGATTTTTTCTTTGTAGAGCATCTTTAGTTCCCTTTATATTTTCTCTTCTGATGGGGATAAAGAGAAAGAAACCGGAATCNACTATAATTGATAATTAGAAGGTAACTCTTGTTACTTAAAAGTATTTAATTCATTTATTATTTTTGTGGGACATTTGATGACATTTTGCAATAATCTTTATCTTAATTTTTTCATTAAAAATGAAATTCTTTAATTGTGATGTGATCCATCAA